TTTCCTTCTCCATCCCCATCCATCGTACTTCAGTGACCTCTCCCCACCCCCTCTCCACTGCCCACCATCCCATTACAGCCTTATTATCCTTTGTATGACAGCATCATATGCAAAATTCATACACTGATGGGTGGATTTCAGAAAAAAACTAAAGTGTACCAAACCCCCACTAAAGCACAGTAAGATGTTCAACTTGTTTGAAACACCATCTCCAGGGCAGTAACCCAGGAGGCAGAGTTAATATCCAAACCTGCCATATGAAGAAACTGAGGTGTTGCGGAGCTCCTTCCGCTCCTTCAGCCAATAGCTGCTGAGATATCAGCCCATTGGGGCATGGTCTCTCTTTCTTTAAAAAAGCAGCAACTGCCCTCACTTGCTCTCTGGCTTCTGGCTCCGTTTCTGGCGACTAGGCTCCCTTTCTGATTGCGCAGAGGGCTGTTGTCTGGGACGGTGATCTGTAAGTTTTTCCCCCTTAAATAAATAACCATTCTATTAATCATAATTCCAAACTGGTGTGGGATTGTTTGTGACTTACGCCTTCATAGAGGCTCAAGGTGGGTTAGTCATGTGCCTTTAAAATACTACATACATGTTTAATAACATGGACTTCTAAGGCCAAACTCAGATTTCCTGGGTCTGGCTTCTTATATTCACTAGATCCACAATGCGTTGGGCTGATGATACACCTTGGATTGATGAATACCCTACTCACACAGCTTCCTTATTTCTCTGCCTCACTATAAAAGACCCCATGGACGTTCGCTGTGCTGGGCTTCTGCTGACTCACATGGAACACTCTGCAAAGTTAGAGCAAGTGTCCCAATACATGCCTCTCTCCTGACAGGCCTCTTCAGTAGCCCAGAGCAACACTGCAGTAGGTGAAACTGTTCCTCACTCCATCAACGCTTCTTGCATATCTACTGCTTTGACTGGGCCTACCTCATGTCCAGACATGCCAATCAGCTACCCGCAGGTAAATCATTTGCCGTGGTCTAGAGCTGTGGCAACATCTCTCCCTATAGTGGGTTGACCAACCTACTAATAACAAAGTGTTCACGCCAAGAGTGATGGATGAGTGTTGGGAGGAAACATGATTCTTTCAGGGGTTACTAAAGCAGGCCATTGGGAACCCCAAGACAGGTAGAGGCATCTCGTGACCATGTAGTAAGTCAACCATCTGCCCTAACTCTTCCAACCCGGGATCCTAACGAGGCAGTCTACAAACCAAATCTAGTGCTCAGATTTAGCACATACTTTTTCTAAATAAAATCAATTACTAATATCTTGAATTCTGAATGGCACACATAAATACCCAGGTTTTGTGCTTCCTACAACACTAGAAGAATCAGGACTAAATAATGAGTCTATTCTGCTGCCAGGGCCGAGGTCTGCCTGCACACTCAGCCCAGCGATCCTTCCTCAAAAGTCATTCTCTCATCCTTCTGGTCATGGTGTCCACGGCCCCTCCCACAGAGCTTGAAGACTAATGACATTGTCTTGCTTTAATGAATATTTGCCTACATGTATGTGTGTGTACCATGAGCATGCAGGTGGCCGCAGAGACCAGAAGAGGGCATTGGGTCCCCTGCAAGTGAAATTACAGGTGGGTTATAAATTTCAGAGCGGGCACAGGAAACCAAAGCCCACTCCGTGCAAGAGCAGTAAGTACTCCTAACCGCCGCCTTGCTTTTCTGTGATCCAGATGATACTGCACCTCCTGTGTCTCTAATGCCTCCCTGGGGAATCACAGCAATGCTGGCGGTGTTACTATTTCCTTTACAGCTAATTCTGGGCTCTACTTTAATATTCTGTCTTTACTGCCTACATACAGCACCGCTTCTCACAAGAACCCACCTGCCCGAGTTGCCAAGACCTTATCAGAGAAAGGGCTGTGCAAATACGCATGTTTCCTGCCCGCCACCTCCCTTCCTCTTCACACACTGGGGCTCTAGCCGCAGAGGCAGCTCTGGTTTTTGGAATGCGCTGGCCGCCTGCCCTGGCACTGAGCTCACCTGGGTGGGGCAGCCGGCTGGGCTGCGGGGTGTAGAATCTTGACTCTGGAATGCACTTCCTCACAGAGGTGCCAAGGCCTTTGCTTGGCAGATTCAAAACACAATGACCTTTAAGTAACCAGACGTTTGTTATTCCTGACTGAGAGGTGAGTCCAAGGCGCTTTAAATTCGTGAGAGCTGGGGTGCAGGTTAAACGGAGCAAGTCATCTACTGAGATCGGACTGTTTTCTCTTCCAACGGAATAAAGGAGTGTCTTCTGAAGTAAAAAGTGCTGCCTGTAAGCTAGAGACACAAACTAGCAACAACCAGCTCCAGTCAATTACAAAAACATAGGACATGAGAGGTGAGACTATACAGTTCCAAAAACTGTAGTGCTAACACTTTATTTGGTGATCTTATTAAAAGGATTCCGTCTATAAAAATAATAGTTGGCCTTATTAGAATAAAAAAATAACCTACTTCTTCTTTAAACTATAACTCCACTTCTGCCAAATACAGGGCAAATACTAAGAACAAAAAACAAACAAACAAACAAAAAAAATCCCATAGCCTCTATTTTAAAAATTTATCAAGCTTGTACTCAAGGTTACCACTGACAATTTATCAAGACCCTCACCCAAAACAAAAACACAATTGTATTTTTATTGTTCTGTGTTTTAATTATATGTAGATATGTGCATGTGGCCCTGGAGCTGGAGTTACAAGTGATCATGAGCCACCTGACATGGGTGCTGGAAACCACACTCGGGTCCTCTGCAAGAGCAGCAAGTTACTCTTACCTGCTAAGCCATCTCTCCAGTCTCCCAAAATAAAAACTGAAAACAAACAAACCTGGAGATATAGTTCAGTGGTAATGCATGTGGTGCTAGGTTCAATACTGCAAAAATAATCAGCCTCTGCCATTTTTATGATCAAAATTTTCAAATACTTTAAATAACTATAGCAAGGTTATTCATTAAGGTAATAATTTGTTCCTTTTAGCCAGTAAAATTTGGGCTTTTTTTTCCCCCTTCTTCCAGCTCTAGGGATAAAATCCAGGGCCTGATATGCTTTAAACTGCACTACATCCCCAGCCTAGTTTAAAAAACAAGCCTTAATGAATGGGAACTGCTGCTTCCCCCCCCCCCCCCCCCCCCCCCCCCGGGCAGTTAGCGATGACTGTGTCCTAGCAACAGAGACTTGAGTGAAGGACCCTGCTGGAGAAACCAGCATGGGAGGAGAGCGCGGGCTGGGAGGTGGACTCTCTGGGCAGCCCGGACCTAGGAGCCCTTAATGTAGACCCAACTGTCTTGGTCTCTCTCAGTGCAGCTTTGCAGGGATGCCCCTCCTCCACAGGGCAGGAGGTGTGGAGAGGAAAGCTCACAGCGATCAAGGAGGGAGGACTAGAGGGCTCTCTTCACTTCAACTTAGGACCCCCCACCACCACTCCCCTTCCACAGGAGTGCAGCCACTGGAAAGCAACCCCTGCTGGGGGTGGGGGGTGAACCCACATCTCCTTGCGTACCAGCAGCATTAATTAGACTCTGTGAGTTAAAAATAACAAAAACACGAAAGGAGGACATGATGCTGTGTGATATTTTGATTGTATTCTGACAAAGCTTGCTTGGGAGTCAGAGGGCAGAGCTAGCCACTAGTTGACCAGAGGTTTGGAGGACTGTAAGCAGAGAGGAGACAGGAAGTGGTAAGGTGGGGGAGAGAGAGGATCTCTCCGCCCTTATGGGCTGAGGAATGGGAGAGGTCAGAGGCTACTGATGGCTGCTCCCTGTTCTCTGATCTTTCAGGTTCTTACCCCAATATTAGACTCCTGATTTTTTTGTTGATAAAATTAATTAGTTTAACGCTTCAACATGATGATGGGAAGGAGGTAGTGTTTATGATTTTTCAGAAGTACAATAGAGTGGGAAATTTGCTTATTAATCTTTAGCATGGGATGGCAGCCCAAAGGGATTTCATATTGCTCACATAAAAGGATAGTACCGTACACTGAAGTAAAACATAAGACCGGCCGTTAGAAGACGAGAAGCGTATGCCTAAGACACTGACTTAACTGAGTTATATGTGATTGCAGAAGCACTCCGGGTGACCTTAGACTGACCTAAGTCTCCCTGGCTGCACTTTTTCAAACTAATTGTGAAGTGTGTGGGAAATGTCATGTACTAAGTTAGGAAGTGTCCGACACACCCAGCCCTTATTCCTGTGCCTCCCAAGGAAGGTGACATCCTGAGTTAGAAAGGTCCTTCTCAGGACAGCCTGGGCCTTCCTCCTCTTCCTTGCATGCTGGATGCTTGTCAAAGCTTTAGCCCAGCGCCTCATATGACCATCTGAGTACAGAATACAGAGTTGGATTGCCTTTGCAGTCCCTCAGGTATGGCAGAAATAAGACAAACTCAGCTAAGATTCTACCTGCCTTATGAAGCATTGCTAAGCCCCAAGAGACCAGCTCACAGGGGATTCTAGGCTTCTGATTATTTGAAACTTTCCAGAATCAAACTAAAAATTCTAGTATTAAAAACAAAGATCTAGGGGGATGCCCAGAACACCAAAGCATCTGCATACAAGTGTGAGGATCTGAGTTCAAAACCCCTGGTCCCAAGTAAAAACAGCTGGGTGTGACCATGTACCTGCAATCACAGTGTTCCTACAGTAAAATGGGAGGCAGAGTCAGGATGCTCCCCATAAGTTCACAGGTCTGCTCTCCTGGTATACACAGCCATAAACAACCACAAAGAGACCCTGTCTCAAACAAGATAGAAAGTGACACCCAACACCCAAGGTTAACCCAACCTCCACGTGTGCAACGGCCTGTGTGCAAGCATGTTCACATACACAAATGTTAGCATGTACACATATACACATGTTCACTTGCACATCATGCACTCAAAAGAGAAAAAAAAGTTTACATTACCATAGTCACCACCTCGCATGTCTTATACACCAGCCTAAAAGAAACTGCTAGACCATTTGAACGCACTGGGGTTGACTACTTACCAGCTGGCTGTGTTTGCGCTACCCTCTTGGGGTAAGTCTTGCTTCTACTTCTCGCCACAGTCTGATTGGGCCGGGGAAGTTGGATAGAAAGATCTCGGCTCATTTGCAGAGCTGTCCTGCCACTGGAAAACATGACACTTGGATTAGCAGGAAAACCATATGGTCAGAGTTAAATGACAATCCAATCAGAAGACCTTGCAAACAAGACAGGGAAGAAAAGCACAGACACAGTGGAACATAGGTGTGCCGAGGTTCTTAACTGATGCCCGTGATCCTACTGACCAAGAAAGGAGCGCTAACCTCAGGGAGGGGCTTATGTCAGATAAAAAGAAGAGCTTGCTGAGGGACCAGCAGGAAGGGAAGATTTATCAAAGGTTAGGTTTATGTTCAAGGTAGGACAGGCTAGAAATCAAGGTTGCTGATGGCCTTGAGGCCCACGGCTAAACACTGGAGAAGTCGTGGTAGGTGAGCTATGCCACGGTAGTAATTCTGCTAGCCTGTCCCGGGCTGTGCTCACTCAGCAAGCCGTAGGCACCCCTGCAACAGACCAGTGTGATTTTGTTTCTGAGCCCTGGCACAATCAGTCATTTATTATATCCCCTCACTTAACAAACCATATGTCTGGAAAGAGAGAAAACAGACCTAGAAGCCTACACACGGGGCTTCCTTCCCTAGAGATCATGGGAGGAGGATGTGGAGTCTCAGCTTCCTTCCCTAGGCTGGCATACTGGTTTTTTTCTCTCTCTCTCTCTCTCTCTCTCTCTCTCTCTCTCTCTCTCTCTCTCTTTCACACACACACACACACACACACACACACATTTTATATATTGAAGGTTTGGCTCCTGTCAGTAGCCAAAATGAGAGGTGACTTGATTGTGAAGTTAATAATCTCAGCAATGGGTTAATCCATTGGTCAGTTTATAGCCCAATAGACTGCTAGAAGGCGGGGCCTATTTGGAGGAAGTAGGTCATTGAGGTGTGCCTTCCAAGTGAATATGTACAACATATGTGGACTGAGACCTGTCTGTCTCCTCTCTCCCTTCTTCCTGACCCTCACCCTCTTTATCAAGCATGAGATCATCAGTCTCTCCCACCACACACTCCCACTGCCGTGAGGTTCTGCCTCACCAGGGATCCAATACAATGGGCCCAGCTAACCTTCAGCTGAAGTCTCTGAAACTGTAAACCAAAATACACCTGTCCTCTAGCTTAGAGGCCTCTATGAGCAGAGGCTCTTTTTCTGAAAAGCTTCAAAAAAATCCCATAGACAGACAAGATTCCATTATTATATATGGTTCAGAGCATGAAGATCAGGTCTACCTTCTCCAGACTTTCTCCGACATCAAAAAGGCTTGGATAGTGTGTACCTCACTTCACAGAGGAAGAAACATTCGTCATAAAAACATAACTAAATGTGCAGACCCCTGGGACATTTTATAATGAAATTTTACTTTATTATTCAATTTTTCTTCATAATTCCTCTCTCAGGAACAAAGTAATAAGAAAATAATTTCGCAAGATTAATAAGACTAAGGTCTAGAAATACCAACTAATCTACCACAGGCTACACAAGATCCAGGCCTAGAACAGTTTCAGACTCTCCACCTGGTCAGTACAGAGCAGACTGTAGACAAGGAGGAACATAACACTTCACTGTTTAATTTGGAATTCCAAGCCTTGAGGAAAACTCAGATCTGCCTTTTCCGAGCCATGTGGTCTCTGAGGCTTTTTTGTTTGTTCCTTTTTAGAGACCTCTGCAGCCCCCGTTCATCCTCGCCATTACAGTGCACCCCTTCTTACAGTACGCTCTTTCTCTCTGGTGTCAAATAATGAAGTACAAGAGTCCCCACTTCCACGCCCCTTCACACCCTGGCACGGGCAGCGTCTCTGCTCTGGTTGGCAAAGCCACCGTCCTTGAGCATCACAGTCAAGGAGGGGGAAGTAACGGGGAAAGTTGCTTGGCTTCAGAGAGAAGATTTGCTGCTTACGGGTCCTTAGCTTAATGACTTCCCCAGGGGAAGGCTCTGGTTTCTCTCCTATAATTGAGGACATGATACCTCTTTGGTGGGCTGCTGTGCAGATCAAATCAGCAGTGCTTGGGAAAGCACCTGACACCAAGGAGGAGATGCTGAGAACTGGGTCTCTTCCCTGCTTCATGAAATTCGAGCACTCCTATGGTTCAATCCTACAGAGAGGATGCCTGCGTCTCAGGACTCCTACGAAGTTCATGCAACTCATTCTTTCAAGGAGCTTAACAACAGTTAAGAGGGAAGGCTAATCTTCAAGAGACTCTAATAAGGAGATATCAATATGTAACAAAATACTTAATCAAAGATTTAATCAGTCTCCATTTCGGATCTCGGGTCTCTCAAAATAAAAACAAGAGAATCGAAACTTCAGACTTCAGCTCAGCCTTCTTCCCAATTTAATTTTGAAACATGATTGTCTCACATCATTTAAAATCTTTGCTTTTTCTCCCCTTCTTAAACCATAACTAGTTCCCCTAAAAGATGCAATAATCACCCTGGCATTCTGCGAGCCTTAAGACAAAAAAGAGAAAGACCAGAAAGCTGTCTTCCTCTCCTTACACACACAGCACAAGAGTCCCTGCAAACCACACACACCCATGCACACACACACACACACACATATACATGCATAAACACACAATCACACACACATGCACAAATACACAATTGTGCACACATGCACACACGCGCACACACATTCACATGCACACACACTCATACATACACATATAAACACACAATCATACGTGTACAAATACACAATCGTGCATGTGCGTGCGCACACACACAAGCACACATACATGCACACACATACACACATACATGCACACACACGCACACACACATATACATGCACATGCACACACATACATCCACACACTGCAGCCTGGGACACAGCTCCTTTGCCACCCTATCTCACATCCTGCAGGAGGTGATGATTACTGTGCTCCAGAGCTATTTCATTTTGGGGTATCTCTAGATTACTTCAACAAAGAGGCAAGCATGTGATCCTGGTTAAAAGAATGTTAGCTTGCCAACTCTTATCACTAAACAGTCTACATTAGTGACCATGCAGCAATCAGAGACCTGTCCTGCCTGACCTCTGACCAGACAGATGAAATGCCTCTCTCCCACAAGTGGCATGAAGTTAGTGCTCCTTACACACAAATAAAAATAGATTTGTGTTTCATTAAGATTTGCCAGGCAGTTAACATTAGTCATGAAATCAGAACAGATTTAGCAGAACGTCCAATTCTGCAAAGGTTACCTTTAATTGCTTTCTTGGAAAAAAATTGTATTTAATATGCAAAATCCAGTAAGAATAATTTTTAATAATAATTCCCAGTAGCCACAGTATTTGCATTTCAATAAACTTGAGAAATCAGGTATGGTTATATTTGCAGAAGCCAACTAATTCCAGCATATGTTAAACAGCATGATTATAATTTTAATCATCTAAACACTAAGAAAACAGATGTCTTCCCATTAGCTGCAGACCGTTGACAAGGAGACAGATTCAAGCATTTTTCTCTCTAGCCTTGGCAATACCATGATTAGGAAAACAGCACAAATACTGGTGTTGCCTGTTCTTCTCAGTGTAAAAGTTATACTATCTTCTTAAATATTTCATAATTCTATTCTCATCTAAGGAAGAACTCTGAAAACCTGAAGGCTAAATATTTACACACTGAAAGAAAACCTTCATACAAAATCAAAAGCGCCTAGAATAAATAACACTTTTCTTCTTGTCATCAAATGAGCAAACGCTCTGCTAGATACCTATTCACTGGAAACACTGGGTATCTGCTGTTGGTCACCCTTAATGATTGTCTCTTCTCTTAGATTTAAGACTTCCAAGTGGGTCACTAAAAGAGAGGAATTAAAACCTGGCTGCAGGCATGACTTTTTCAATCTCTTATGCAAGCGCTTCATCCAGTGATGTCCCTAGTCAGCTGACAGAGTAGTCTCCCATCTCTTCGGCAGCATTTCTGCACCCTGCTTGGCTTCACTAAGCCTGGAAACCTGCTTCTCTGCCTAAGAAATACTGCATCCCTTTGACAGCACAGTGGTTTGGGCTGAGTCTGTACATCTGCGGCCCTAACAGCATTCCTGAAACATCACAGCTCTCCACTGAACAGAAGGAACTGAAACAAGACAAATGTTTCTTCAAAATGCAGCGCTCACTCCCACTTTTAAGGCAAGTGTTAAAGAAAGAGTTAGGCAGCTGGCTGCATGACGGTCAAGTTTTCTCTCCACGGGCTGAGTCTGTCTAATAGTCAAGAGCACAGGCCACGGGGTCATGGATCCCACAGCACTGCTTCCTAGCTAGGCTATGTGGAAAGTCCCTTGGCATCCCTAAGCCTCAGTTTCTTCAATGTCGATAACATTACAGACGACTGTGATGGTTAACTGAAGCAATAGAAAGTATTAAAACAATAAAGACCAAATGCCCAACAAAGTTGATACAGAGTAAGCATTACTATAAGCAGGTTTATGCATATGTAAATTATATATGTAGAAGCATGTTTGATGTAGAATATTAATTGTTCAATATGGGATCAAACGAATATTCTAACACCACCACCAGTCAGTTATATTCCAGAATATCTGATTTGTTCCATAATCACAGAACATAATTGGAAATAACTGATAATTACAGCAAAATGAAATCCTGAATACAACAAATTCTACTGTGCTCTAAAAGCCCATAACTTTACATAGCTAATGGAGAGGCTAGATGCATTTAAAACTGGAAAGCCATTTCTGAAGAGAAAGATTTATTTACAGTGAACTGGCATTGCTGGCAGCAAGAGGGGGAGACCCACATATGTGTAGGTAACTGAATTAATACCTTATCAACATGCTCAAGTCCCAGGATGTGGGGGAGGGGAGATGCCACTTACCTGGGCCGATGCTTAGAACTTAGGGACCCGAATTTGCTGAGTTTTCTTGACAGTGAATTCGACTCTGTTTCTGGCATTCTAGTTAATTTAAAAAAGAAAACCAAAGACTTTTAAATACAAACATTTATATAACATTTGAGCAGAGAGCTATACAAAAAAACTATTTAGTAGAGATAGCTAAAATATTTTACTTCTTCTACATACTAGGAGGAAATAACAGTCAGCTATTATTTTAAAGATGTATTTTTACTGTGTGTGTGTGTATGTGTATGTGTATGTGTGTGTGTATGCCCACGTGAGTGCAGGTGCTCATGGAGGCCAGAAGAGGGCGTCACATACCCTGGATATGGAGTTAAAGATGGTTGTGAGCTGCCTGATATGAGTTCTGGGAACTGAACTTGGGCTCTCTGCTAGGACAGCAGACTCACTGAACAACTGAACCATCTGTCCAGCCCAATCACCATACCCAGTTACTTTAAGCTAAGTCTGAACCCCGACTCCCTCATATTTCTGAAGTTCTCTAGGAAACGGTAATGGTGGCTCACGTATTCTTCTTTATGTCATCCTGGGAATTTGTCACCGTTCTGACTTACTCGTATGAAGGTTGAATGGCAGCCAATCACATCACACGTAGTGCTGGTTCACTCTTTATATACAATATGTTCCAGCATTTCCCACTTCAGGATACTTCCAACAGACAACACCATGAAGAGATCATGGGCCCAGTGTCACTGGCTGTGGGGAAAGTCTTGGCCGTCTGGGTCACCTCTTTCCCCTAACAGACCAGCAAAAACTGTACTAAGGGTTCTTCTTTTCTTTTGAGACTAGGCTTCACTATGTAGCCCTGGCTGGCCTGGAACTTGCTACATAGATCAGGTTGGCCTGGAACTCATGGAGATCTGCTTGCCTCTGCCTCCCATTCTGGGTTAAAGGCAGCGTGTACCTGGCAGGATTAACAGTCATTTTGTAATCCCCAATATAAACAGTATGGGAATAAGGGGAAGAATTCAATCTCGAGCCAATAAACAATGTATTAAGAACCTAAGTCAGTTTTGTTGTTTTGTTTTGATCTTTACAACAAAAAGACATGAAACAATAAAGTGTACCTACAGAGCTGAGTGCAATAGCACATGCCTGTCCCAGCACATGGGAGGCAGAGGCAGGAGGATTACTTAGCTCCACTGAGGTACCTTACAGGCACTTTAACTGCTGTATGTTCACAGAGAAACACCAAATTTCCACCCCATCACATAGCTGCTAGGTAATTCTGAGCTTTTTCCACAAAGCTTTTTAACAGTTATCCCTGAATTGTTCTTAAAGCGTGAGCAAAGAATATCAGTCTGAACGTAAGTACATATGTAGATTACCACACGTATATATATGTGTGTGTGTGTGTGTGTGTGTGCATATCATGTGAACATAAGTACATACGTAGATGTACCACACATGTGTGTATATATGTGCATATCAATCTGAACATAAGTACATACGTAGATGTACCACACGTGCGTGTATATATGTGCATATCAATCTGAACATAAGTACATACGTAGATGTACCACACGTGCGTGTATATATGTGCACATCAATACTTGTCATGAACATGGAAGGGCACCTTCATTTACTGTACCGGGGACAAAGCACTCACTCTGCTGACATACCTAAAAAATGTATGATGCTCCACACTGCACTTCCAGAGGTGTTTGCAGGCAGTTTTGCTTCGAGCTTCGAAAAAGAACGAGGTTTCGTTACACTGCGAGAGATGGGGAGAGAACACCAGTTACTGGCTGTGATGTTCTCCGGAGGGCAGCCCTCCTCAAGGGAGCAGAAATCCGGAAGAGCAGAGGCTAACACCGAAAGAAAAGCTATTTTTGGAAGGTTGCATTAAAAATTACTTTCCACTGTCTACAATTATGAAACATAACTTCTATTTAAATCTCAGTGCAGTCACCTTTATTAACTCCTTCTATGTCGTCTCATGACTATGGATCATCCAGGCAATGGAACGGGAATCCTGCAAGTCTGTTCATTGTAAGTGAACCGTGTATACAGAAAACACTGCTTGCGGAATTCACTCCTAACAGAGACAGGGATGCCCATACATACAGTCCTTAACCCTACTGCTTTCAGAGACGGAGAAATCATACTTAGATCCTGTCTGGAGCATCTCAGGAGAAGCAGTGAGGGGGCTGCCTCCACTACACTGAACTATTAGGTGCATAAAATTAAGTTCTATGGTAGATGCAGTGTGCATGCAATAGGCATACGGAAATTTGATGGCCATTTTAATCTAGTGGTTATCTGATATATAAGAAACTAAGAACCCATTAAAGTAACTCTATTGTGTGTGTGTGTGTGTGTGTGTGTGTAAGAAATGCTATTTTCAAATAGAAAATAAAGCAAAACAAAATAAGCATGAGAAGCTCTATGAAGTTATACATTGATAATTTAGCTTCAAATTTAAAAATAAAATACTAGCCTTAAATGCAGCAATTATTGTGGAATGAGTTTCCTGTGAACTCATAAGCACAATGTTGGCAGTGCGCAGGAGTAACTGGGATATCTGTCCACCATTTAACATGAACACATGAAGTTCCTCCCAAGCCCAACCAGAATAACACTGCCTAACTTAGGAATGTATTTGTAAAATGTGGGATCGAGCAGAAGAATGGCCACACGTTCACGCTGCAGCAATCCAGCCCACTACCAAAATCTTACAAGGTAAAGGAGGAAACGTAGGGAGATTCTCAGGGATTCAGTCTAGGTGTTACTGTGAGTAGACGGCAAGCGGGAAAAACTGGCGATAATGACAGTAAGGTCGGGCCAATATAGTAAAATGAAATGTCCCCAGAATGCCAAATGGACCAGTAAGCACAGAGGAGCCCCAACCGAAAGAGAGGTCACATCTCCTGGCGCAGCACTGTCTCCTGAGAATACCTAAGATGGTCAGAAGAGAGGGCAGGGGTTCAAGGGGAATCACAGGACAATGCTCGTGAGGTGGGTCAAATTGAGCAGGAGGCAAGGGTGTCAGCAAGGCTGGGGAGAGAGAGCACGTGTCTCAAAGGCCACAGAAAGGCCAAGGGGGCTCCAAAGGCACTTTCTGCTTTCCGTAGTGAGACTATCTGGTGACCTTTGTGTGAGACATAGGACTCTAACAAGAGACAAGGGAGAAGTTCAGTGACTTCAGAACCCCTTTTTCCTGATAGCAAGAGAAACTGAGGCTGGAGAGGAGGGGAGACGGGCAGGGTAAGAAAGCTCAGGCTCCCATGAGGAGACAGGAGTGCCTAGAGGGCAAGCTCTCTCCGTCCGGGTTTCTTCTCAAAAGCACAGGCACCCAAGCTGGATTCACAGTAACAATCCGATCCCCCCTCACTACCACTGTCCTCACTTCCCCTCTCCAGACCTGGCCGCCACTGGGTTATCCTCACTACAATGCCCAGGTCACTTGTCAGAGTTTGCCTGTGAGTGTGTCCTGCAGGGGCAAGTCACTAAGGAAACGCGAATGCCGGGGCAGGCGGCCTCTCCCTGCGCCACGCGGGGACAAGGCCATCTCTCGCGCTTCTCAACAAGGGGAGCCCAGATGTGACAATGCGCACTGGGCCTCGCCATGGATGCCAAACAGGAGCTGAAGCTGGTCTCTAGCACACTCACACCTTAGCAGAAACATCCGTCAAGAAGATATATAAGTACCTGAGTCAAATTCTCAAAAATGTCGATTACATAGAACCTGTATTTCCATAAGCACGGAGGAAATTTAAAATTATCCAGTCTTTAAACTCCATTTCCTCCTCATTTCAAAATTTCCTCAGATTGTTTTCCACTTCATCCTCCACATGTCTGTATTATTTTGCTTTTCTTATTGAAAGCCAGTTAAGGAGTATCTAATTTTTTCCCCAGTTCTCACTCCCTCCTCTCCTCCCGTTCCCCCCACCTACTCCAGGGTATCTAATTCTTAATATGTATTTTAATCTATCATCACTTAATGAAAGATAAAAGTTACTTCAAATCCAACTGGAACTTGGGTTTTCTCGAGTTTTCTTGGGCACAGACAGAGGGGCAGGGGAGTCTCCCACAGGCCTCCTAATTACCCCTGCCATGAACGAAAGCAAGTATGAACTCATTCCCCGTGTGCAGAAGACTTCAGAGAAGCCGCCTGTTTTCTGTGGCATTACCGACAGCGTGAGTCAAATAGCAAAGGAAGATTAATGCTAAGCCGGGAGCCAGGTACTCTTGAGGAAACTCTGTGGACTTCTGTCACGTGCTGCTGGCACCAAGGAGCTGACAGAGCACTTGGGGACCATTTCAAAACAGACGTGGCCACGCACACATTTCCATTCAGCCCACGAGGCAGCTTATCTGAAGACTGAGAGCTATCCTGACTAAGAGCTAAAATCCCCTGCCCAGCATCCAAAGTGTGCTGCGTTACTCAGACACCTTCGGAGCTTCAGTCATTCACGTGGCAAGCCATGCCGCTGTCTGGATCCGTCCTTTTTGGTTGATGAGTTAACTAAGCTTATGTCATTTGTATCTATGACCGAATGTGGACAACACTGTCCCTTGGGTCTCTAAGGAGACTCAACGGAGCAAACCCTTGATTGCTTTATTAGAACTCAGAAGCTGTATTATTATCTGCAAATGCCCAGCTGGGCACCTTTCCTCTTCTCGGTCTCTCTGCTCATCTTTGCTGCTGTCTTTCTTGGAGAGCCTAAAGTAGGGAGGGAGGGGACTATTTGCTTCTGCTCCTTGCTGTCACTCGACTGGATCATGGCCGTGGTTTACACTGCCAAGGCACGGCTGGGCTGCTTAAGGCATCTTGGGCCACTCCATTTCCCGTGTCTTTCAAGCCTGTGCTCTTGACACAAGAGCCTGTGTTACAGAGTCCTGTGTTTAATCGGCTTCTCCTTGTTTCTATGGAGACAGTCACAGGTGGGAGTCCCACCTTTCCTCAGTCCCCTGGAATTATAGGAATGAGCACATTCACAATTCTACAAACACTTCCGACATCCAAGGTCACCAGATGTAACTCAAGATGTATGGGGGGAGGGGGAACAATGAGATCGTGGGGAAAGGCGGAGGATCTGACATCAATCCCTGGGACCCACATGATGGAAGGAGAGAATAGACCCCCCACAAGCTGTCCTCTGCCCTCCACATGTGTCCCCCTAGTACATATACAAACACTCACAGATACAATTCCATAAATACATGTAATTGTGAAAAGATACACTGCACGGGCCACGGGCAAGCAAAAGAGATCCGTGTTTCTAAAGATGGTAAGATAAAGCCATTCTGCAAATACCTGAAGGCCTGTGGCAGAGGCGCTTCCTACCCAGGCCTCGCTGGAGAACCAGGCGAGGCTCGAGAGAAACGTAACATTTGAAATCTGTAGGTATTTTTGCATTCGATCTAAACAGGAGTTTGAACTCTTAAACTTACTTTAGGCATGAAGGGAGAAATAAAAAGAAGAAGAAACACGACAGCAAATGTCTGAAATAGCTTCCTTCTCAGCTGCTCAGAAAGCAAAGGCAAGCAGTGAAATTAGAAAACAGACCTGCTCTTCAGACGGAAACCCACACTAGAGACCCAGAACGTTAAGTAGATGCGGGAATTTCATCTTTCCAATGGCGAGACTGGCTGGGTGCCGTCTGAAGCGCTGAATTATGCTGGCGTACCCGAGACGCTGGGTTTCTCTCAGCGGCTTTCATCATCTTTCATTACTCTTTCCTCAAGTTCAAACCTGATTTTTTAAAATGCCGCTTTTGTTATTACTTGAAAAGGGGAGTTGGAAAGAAATGTTAAAACCCTGAGTAGACCTCACCTTGTTCTCCCAAGATAAGCTTCCATAACAACCCCCCTAAAAGGGCAATTCTCACAATGCTAGTGCCTTAAGGTATTTACATACAGAAGTCTATGGGATGCCAACTAAGTGTGGGGCATGCTGGGTAATCACACAGTTTAATGTGGTTATGTGCACTGTCAATGTCCACCAGGCAAGGTACTGGGGTGTTTACCTGGTTAATTTAGACAAAGAACTGTCTGTGTCTTAAGAAAATATATTTTACGTACCCCAGTATCAAAAAATATAAATACAAACGCTCCTCTATACGCATGCAGCATGTATAGTATGTGCGTAGGCTCACGTCAGCGCAAACACTCTTGAGACGGACAGCACAGCTTTGTTTGGTTTGGGTGTTTGTTGTTATTTGGTTTTTGGTTTCACTAGGTCACCCTGGTTGACATTTCTGCACAAAGGACTAAAGCAAGGGCTGGGGAGGCAGCTGAGTGGGCAACATGCTTGCCACACGGGACGAGGGCCTGGGAACTGTTACTAGGAAACGGCCTGACAGCACGGCTGTGTTGTTGGCATGAAGGCACAGGTATCTGGGAAAATGTTCTGAGCTTCTAAAGGATCGATTCCTTTATTACATTTAATGGTAGTTGACAGTCTTCACTCTAAAATTTTCAACCCTTTTGAAAAAATGGCTTAATCTATTTTAATCATGGAGAACGTTGGCAAATGAATTAAAAGATGAGGCAGAGGCAGAACCGTGGGCTTACAGATGTAGCCTTCCCTGCAGCCTGGCCCAGGCTACCCAAAGGCAAGAGTGGCCGGTACGAGGTGATGTCATAGGGGTTACAGCAGGAGCCCAATTGAGAAGCACAGACCGGATGCTCATCTGCGAGCGCTGGGCTAGGCACTTTCCGTCTCCCAAGGCCTATATCCCCCTCCCATCTGTCCCCACCTGCATTCCC